TTCTGAGGACTTCATACCATCTCAAATAGGTTTTGCAATAGGCTTTAGAAGCAGACTAAAAGGTATGGTAAATGTTCTCAGTGGTCGAAAACTTGATAAACTTTCGATGTCAATATTGCCTTGAATCTTTAATACCTATCATAATCTTTATAGTCACATACTTATTTCTATATATGCTTACAAGCCACTGTTATTGTAAAAAAAATGTATATGTCTTCGTGGTTATTCATGTTAAACATATAATACAACAACAAAAGAGTCATCGAAGCGGTATTCGCCCGTTCATAATTCACAATAACAAAGAGAAATCCTACATGAATACGTGCAAACACCCAGTTGCGTGTACAGCAACGTGCAGTGAACTTGGACAAAGTACTGTGACTATGTGTGTGTCCCAGTCCACCCAGCTGTGAATGGGTACCAAGTTAGGATGAGAAAGCCGCAATAACTCGCTGCGCCTAGTGGCTGCAAGAGTTGCATACTCCCCAGGGAGTTGAGATTGATAACACGATGTGCTGTTGAGATTGACATCCAATGATCGAGGGAAAAAAATACCAGCGCCTTGAGCAAGCACTAGTTGCCTGGATATGTGCGCTATATAAATATCGTATAATAATAATAATAATAATAATAATAATAATAAGCAGCGTTTCCTGGGAGAAGTCCCATTCGCTGTCTGGGCTGCGTGTAGAGGGGGCAAGGGCCCTGAGCTGATGATGAGCCTTACCAGCCTGACTGTGCCAGGATCACCCGAACCCTCTCTGCTGCATACAATCTTTAATCTGTAAAACATAATAATCTCCAGGGGCCTGACGATGTACGCCTCTCCGTGGTGGGCCTAGATAAGGGAATTATATTCCCTGAACTAAACGTACATCACCCAGTTAGGGCTGACCCCCCGAAGCTGGTTTTTCACTAGGTTACCGTAAAACAAGGAGCAAACGATCTTTTAACTCCGCAGCCCAGTCAGCCTTCCTCCGGTAGTGAAACCAACCACACTGGAGATGGGACTTGCCCCAGCGGAAGGCACAGAACCCGACCAAGAATATCTTGGTCAAACCACCTTAAAACCACACTACTTGAGTGTGCGAGAGCGACAGGATGGCCTGCAAATCCACGTATGGATGGCAAGTCGCTGAAGCTGCATTGGGACAATGCCATGCCCATGTATGCTTACCTGACGGAGCAAAATCTTCGAGGTCAATTCCGGCGGCTTAAAAATCTCTTGCCCCGTGAGCCAGTTCAACCCACAACTGGTGCCCGTCAGGAACCTTTGCATGAACAGAATGCTCAAGTGGCAGCAGACCCAAAACTGCTAATGGACGTCCGTGTCAACCTCTTTCCTCTTGCTGATGGAAATTCTTCCGGCATAGAGCCAATTGGCCCCGAAATTTCGGATGCTCACTCTTCCTCTTCTTCAGTTACAGATCGTTCTGAAAACCCTGTGTATATTTTGTTTCATTCTATTTATGATGAAATATTTGACATACCTTTAGAAAAACGGAGGCCAATTCAACAAACAAATGTATCTTTTCCCAAACATGAAATTAATATATTAAATGACTTTATATCTATGAAACTTTCATCGGACTGTTCATTACATGAAGTTAATTCTTGTGTCTATGCTGCCGCTTGAACCTTGGAGGAAATTCACAAAGTTTCCAAAGAAAAAACAACTAATACTAAGAACAATACACCAAAGAAAAACCGGTATCAAGTAAAACTCACGCAAACTAGAAAATACATTTCCTGGATAGAGCTGTGCCTGAAACTAAGATCATCAGGGAATCCAATGTCAAAACGGCAAAAGACAATTTGGAGAAAATTAAAATTGCAGTAAAAGACAACAAAAGAAAAGGTACTTCTTCAAATTGTCGATTGCCTTAAGGCAAAAATAAAGGTTTGGACTGAAAGAAAGAAAAAAATGGGAAAAGAAAAATAAATTCATCAAACAAAATAAACTGTTTAGAAATAATGAAAAACACTTCTACAGGCAACTGAAAACAAAGGGTGATGGTGAGCATGAGAAACGGCCTTCCATGGATGCCAATGAAAGGTTCTGGAAACAGTTGTGGTCTATACCCGGCGACTGTAACCTGGAGGCACCATGGGTCCGTGATTATGACCATGCAATGCATGAGAAAGTAAATAGGTCGTTTGTCTGTTACATCTCACCAGATTGCCTGAAAAGTGTCATCAAAAAGTCCAAATCTAATACAGCTCCAGGGCCTGATGGCATTTGAAACCGGTATTGGAAACTGTTCCCCTGTGTCCAAACGCCATTACTTCACTGTTTCAATTCTCTTGTGGACACAGGTGATGTTCCTCCATGGTTCTGCAATGGTCGCACAATACTCCTTCCCAAGAAAGGAGACTTGACTGATCCCCAAAACCTATCACATGTTTGAATACACAATACAAAATATTCACAGGGTGTTTGACAAACCTCGTGTCATCTTACTGCTCTTCCAATGATACAGAGAGCAGAAGGGGGCGAGAAAGGGATGTTGGGGGTGCAAGGATCAACTTTTTTGTACAAAAAATGATTTTGGAAGAGGCTAAAGCATATCACCGCAACCTCTCCATGTGCTGGATTGACTACAAAACAGCATACGACTCTGTTCCTCACGAATGGATTCTGAAGTCTCTTCATTGTATGGACCTCCCTGAGCGACTACTTGATTTACTCAAGTCTTTAATGAGTTGCTGGTCAACTCAACTTGAGATGTACTCGCAAGGGCAGGTGCAGACTTCGGAATCTATTCCAATCAGAAGGGGAATTTTCCAGGGGGACTCCTTTAGTCCTTTGCTTTTGTTTGTCTCTAAATCCTTTGAGCTTTCTGCTCAACAGAGAGGAGGGTTACCATCCCGGACCTCCTCAGCACAGATCCCTAACACCTCTTACTCATCTCCTTTACATGGATGACAGCGAGCTCCTTGCCAAAGGAAATTCCAATTTGAAAGAGCAGGTTCTCCTTGTCGAGTCCTTTTCTAATGATATTGGCATGACATTTGGACTCGACAAATGTAATACTCTTCATTTGAAACGTGGCAAGGTAGTTAATGATGGATCGGTCGAGTTACAAGGGGGAGGAGTTATTGAGCATCTTGTGGAAGATCAGGCCTACACCTATCTTGGAATGCAAGTTCGAGACAAGCTCCAGAATGCCCAAATTCAAGAAAAACTTCGGGCCGAGTACAAATCTCGTTTAAAGAAAATCTGGAGCTCAGAGCTAAATGCTCGTAACAAGGTCAAAGCCACCAATACTTTTGCTGTGCCAGTCCTCTCCTATTCCTTTGGAGTAGTTGACTGGACGAAACAAGACATCCAGAGTCTTGACCGCCTGACCAGAAGGATCATGTCTGATAACAGAGCCCACCACCCTCGTTCCTCTCTTAACCGTTTATACATGCCAATCAATTCTGGAGGTCGGGGTTTGATTAATGTGGAGGCTCTTCATGACAGAATTTTATTGTGTACTTTTGCACATATTTATTTATCGGATGATCCTCTAGTGATGCATGTAAAGACTCATGATGAAAGCAAGGAATTCCACAGCTATTTTAAGCGTGCCAAGGTTGTTGGACAGAATCTGAGATTTGAGGTTGATTTTGTTGATGGCGATGTGCTGCTGGATGGTACAGTGATGGGAGTAAACCAGGTGAAGTCCTTCACCAAGTCTGCCCAGAGTCGGTCTTTTGTGGAGAAGCTTTCTGAGAAGCCATTGCACCGTGTGTACATGCAGTGTGTGGAACAGAATAGCAATCCCACCGACTCCTTCGCCTGGATGAAGTCGGCTGGTCTTAAATGTGAAACTGAGGGCTTCCTTTTTGCTGCTCAGGACCAGTCACTTCCCTCTCGCAATCGCCTAAATGTGATTCTTAAAGAGAGTATCAATATGAAATGTCGACTTTGCAATGAATTTACAGAGACTGTTCAACACCTTGTCAGTGGATGCCCTTCCTTGGCACAATCAGCATAATTTAAACGACATGATGGCATGGCTCGTTGCTTTTACTACCGTCTCCGACATGCCTGTGGCTTTGACTCCGAGGTCCATCCATGGTACGACCCTGAACATGTCCAGGGCGTCATGGAAAATGATGCTTTCAAACTTCTATGGAATAGGCCCATGTACAGCCTCAGAAGAATTCCTGCCAACAAACCTGATCCTGTCCTTTTCGATAAAGCCAATGAATTTATTTATATCATTGAATTTTCTGTCCCTTTTGACACCAATGTGATTGGCAAGATTAAGGAAAAGCATGATAAATATGCGGACCTCGCCTTTGAAATGTCTCGCTTGCATCCCAAGTACACTGTCGCCAGGCTCCCCATTGTTCTTGGTGCCCTTGGTTTGGTACCTCCTGATCTCTTGGCGCAGATCAGGAGAGTGCCCGGGTTCTCCACCGGGAGTACAGCCCTTCTGACACTCTGGGTAATGCAGAAGGCTGCAGTGTTGGGGAGCCTTCATATTCTCCGGAAAGTTCTTGGTGGGTTCGACTAGGCAGCGTTTCCTGGGAGAAGTCCCATTCGCTGTCTGGGCTGCGTGTAGAGGGGGCAAGGGCCCTGAGCTGATGATGAGCCTTACCAGCCTGACTGTGCCAGGATCACCCGAACCCTCTCTGCTGCGTACAATCTTTAATCTGTAAAACATAATAATCTCCAGTAAGAGAAGAGTCAGTTGTGCTATATCATGAGCATGTGGTTATGATGCAGCATCAAATACTGGTAAATATTGGTGGTCTCGAAAAGCTGGGTATATTCTGCAGCACCCGTCACAAACACATGCAAAGGCAAGTTAATTGTTCACCGGAAAAAGACATGGGAACATATGGTACATGTCAAAATAAAGAGTTGCATCGGACATCATTTTTGTCACTGATGCATCCCATCTGGAATATCCTCCACATGTCTACTATAAATAGTCAATGACATCATCTTGTGTCCATGTTAAAAACAGTACCCCTGTAATTCATCATGTACGTCTCTGATTCAGGTCGGCTACATCAACGTCGGTGACAGCGGCAACGGACAAGAGATCTACGTGAAGGTGTATGCTCTGCAGCTGAAGACCAAACACTCACAAGGTAGCTACTACTTCAATTCTTTTATAATATACTCCATCAACTCGTACTCCTACCACCACAACCACCACCTCCACCACCACCACCGCCACCGCCGCCACCACCGCCACCACCGCCACCAACACCACCACTACTTATACTACTACTACGACTACGACTACGACCACGGCTACGACTACGACTACGACTACGACTATTTTATTGATACAACTAATAGTTTATATCACCATCACCATTCTTCGCCACGTTTAGTCGTAAAATTACCCATACGGCGTTAATTTAGCTATTTCAACTAAGACAGCTCCAACTATTCCTACTACAACTACCACCACCGCCACCAGAACGGTTAAACGCTGGGAAGACAGATATAGTCAAAAATTATCAGTGAACCAGGAAGACACGCGTTTCTTTACCTTAGGCTAAAATTACACCTGAATGAGACAAGGGTAGATAAACCTGTTTCGTAGCCTTAAAATATTTCCACAGAGCACAAAACGTACAATACGATACTGTTTGTACAGAACACAGCGGGCTCCTTCACGTGTCGTACGAGATATTGACCTTCAAAACTTAATTCTAACCAGTCCCCACACCTGCAACTTGTTTACCAACATTAACATCTCCTTCACTGCAACACCCCACCTCACCCTCCCTAACCGCACCCCATTTATGGTTTGTCGTAAAACCTTCAAGAAGCTATGCCCTATAGATAGATTTATGTGATTTATGAGACAATGTTGGCGAAATCACACATAAACTGGGGACATCAAGCACGGAATGATCTGAAAGTCGTCATTACACGAACACAAGATTGACTATAAGTAAACAAACACACAAAATACGTTTTGTCAAAGAATTCCTCCTTAATGCTTTATCTTTACAAGTATTATTTGTATCTGAAACAGGGAGGATACTGACAGCCACAAACGTTTCACAAAAGGGATTTTAGTGGTTATAAATGTCAATTTTGTTGGACACAAAACACATGCAAACTTGCCAGAGGGACTATTAGGCTTGTCCCGGAATGACACGAGTTGTCACGGATGTGATTATCATCTATGCATGACGAAGGGCAACACTTCCTGCAGGTCCAATATTGTGTAGATTGTCCATGTAGTCATTAGGAACATATCTGTGAGTACTGTCGCTGAATAAAATAAGGATCTTTCCTAAATGGATACCCATAAACCCATGAAGACAGCCTCAGTACTTCAGTGAAACACGTTAAAACATTCTGTACACGAACGTCAGTTGAAATACGAATCCTTTCAAGTGGAATAAAGTAGACTTATAGTATGTTGTTATAAATCACATTGGTGAACCACATGTTTCGTCCCCTCCAGTTGTGAAGTGTCTTAAATCATATTCACGGACTGGCTAAATCTTGTCTACATTGGGGACATCACGCTCTGTATCTGTATTTTCTATAATCCTCCATTTACCATCAATACAGCCTCAGTACTTTTTGTATACTCTATAATCCTCCATTACCAGTCAATACAGCCTCAGTACTTCACGGGTTTGTTTACTCTAAAATCCTTCATTATACATGAATACAGCCTCAGTACTTCACGGGCTTGTGTACTCTATAATCTTCCATTATACATGAATACAGCCTCAATACTTCACGAGCTAGTGTACTCTATAATCTTCCATTATCCATGAATACAGCCTCAGTACTTCACGGGCTTGTGTACTCTAAAATCCTTCATTATACATGAATACAGCCTCAATACTTCACGGGCTTGTGTACTCTAAAATCCTTCATTATACATGAATACAGCCTCAATACTTCACGTGCTAGTGTACTCTATAATCTTCCATTATACATGAATACAGCCTCAATACTTCACGGGCTTGTATACACTATAATCTTCCATTATACATGAATACAGCCTCAATACTTCACCGGCTTGTATACACTATAATCTTCCATTATCCATGAATACAGCCTCAGTACTTCACGGGCTAGTGTACTCTAAAATCTTCCATTATCCATGAATACAGCCTCAGTACCTCACGGGCTAGTGTACTCTATAATCTTCCATTATCCATTAATACAGCCTCAGTACCTCACGGGCTAGTGTACTCTATAATCTTCCATTATACATGAATACAGCCTCAATACTTCACGGGCTTGTATACACTATAATCTTCCATTATACATGAATACAGCCTCAATACTTCACCGGCTTGTATACACTATAATCTTCCATTATCCATGAATACAGCATCAGTACTTCACGGGCTTCTGTACTCTAAAATCTTCCATTATCCATGAATACAGCCTCAATACTTCACGGGCTAGTGTACTCTATAATCTTCCATTATCCATGAATACAGCCTCAGAACGTTATGGGATTGTATACTCTACACATTCCCCCAGCACCACAGAATTCATCGTCAATGCTGTACGGACCTGTATAAACTATCGCCCATAGATATATTCATTTTATCAATACTTCACGGGTCTTACACACTGCATTCCTCGATCACCCATTAATACCCGATCACTATTTCACGGGCGTGTATATGATACAATACAAACATTGTCATTGAATCAACTGATAAGAAATTAATCGTGAATTTTGTAATTGATCACGGTTTCTCTATGGTATACAGCAGTTAATTCCCTTTTTTAATTTAGGAAACATTCAAGACATGTATTGTGTCTCGTGTCTGGATATTGCATTGCACGGGGGAATTTTTACGTGTTAGTTTTCGCAAAACATTCAAAGAGGAGGTGAATATTGCATAGGCGAGGAATTATTGGTATTACATATGTGTATGTCTCGTAGTTATATTGCCTTGCTTGTCATGTTAGTGTGCCTGTTTTGATATTTTGATACCATACTTTTTATAAAGTTGATTTTCTTGTTATTTTTCAGATACCATTGGCCATCATTTGGACTTCTCGAAATGGTAATTGTCAAATCATAGAGCGCGTATACGTTTAAATTTCTGATCGCCCATATTCATCTAAGGAGAGGGATTGAATAGACATCAGATATACACTGCCTGAGTGATTGATTGAGTGATTGATTGATTGAGTGAGTGATTGATTGAGTGAGTGAGTGAGTGAGGTTTTAAGCCGCTTTAAGCAATATTCCAGCAATATCATGGCACGGACACAAGAAATGGGCTTCACACACTGCACCCACGAGAGATTACCTGTTTGATCGTGGCGACCAATGAAAGAAACAAAAAATGGATATGTTCCTGGTTTGGACATAACATAAATGTTTTCAACCTAGTAACGTTCTCGCTCCGAAAAGCTGCAAATTTGCTGATACGGCGTTAATCAATGTTCTCTCACCTAGTAACGTTTTGACAAGGTCGGGCATTGTTTACTCTGCTTAAAAACTGTGTAGAAGGCATGACAAGAGTGTGTTAGTGGTAGTAGCGTGCTATAACTTTCCTATGCAGTCCGGTGCTAAATTGAGTCTCTTGAAACACAATGTAATTACCACCGTTTTTTAAGCGTCCCGTGAATAGAACCGACAAAATCATTTCCTCGTCCATAAGAAATCTCTGCTGAAAGAGTCAATAATCGTACAATTTTGACTATATCATGAGTATATATTTGTTTCAGCAGTATTACATCTGTACGACAAAAACATTTTCTTTTCTTTGAGAGGCATTTTAGAAGTTGTGAAGATGAATCGAGATCAAGGTTATTTCATCTCGTCAGCCTATCACCACCTAATCAAACACCACCACCAGTTATCCTTCCCTACCTGCGTTGTCCATCAGGCTTCCATGCTCCCTCCTTTGTGCTTGTAATCACAACTATTGTACGTCAACTCATCAATTGTATAAACTCAACTCTAATCACAGTCAATCACTCTGTACATCAACCTCCTCTGCTGTAATCACTTATCAAATATCCAATGTTCATCAACCTTGTTAATTGTATATACTCACCATACAGCTATGTATATATTCTCCTTGCTTCAGTTGTTGTATCACTTGCTTGATAACGGTGTTAGTACCTACACCGAAACGTCGCACTCATTGCAATAAAGAAGTTGACTATCCATACAAATCAGTTTTCCTTCAAAAACATTTTAGTCTGGACCGGATAATGTAGTGATTGATGCAATGATATACGATGACAGAGCATGTGTTTATGAACCACTATCAAGTATTGAGAACAGCTGTATACCTAACTACGGAAGACTTTGGTTAGCTGATCCTGAATATTTGGAAAAACATATAGAACCATACATAAGAAATCCATTTTGGAGAGATGTAATTTCTGCATGGGGATCATATTTTCAAAAGCATTATAATATAATAAACTCAAATGACATGTTAAACCAATGTATTTGGTTTAATTACATGTTTAGCATAGGTAACGAAACAAATTTTATAAACAATTGGTACAATGCAGGAATACACTTTATGTATGATCTAATGAATCCAACCACAGGGGAATTCTATACTTATGAAGAACTACAAAAAATATATCAAGTTAAAACAAATATCTTAAGATACCACAGTATTAAATCTTCCATAACTGCCTGCTTAAAGAGAAGACAAATCACTCTACCTAAAACACTCCCATTCTCACCAATACTACCATTTAATATATCCAAGCTTAATCTAAAGATCAAAGGCACCAAAACCTTCTACCTTTCTTTACTGGACTCCAATTACAATACGTCTTATGCACATAAAAAGTGGGAAAGAGTCTTTGAAACACAGTATGATAACACAATGCTACGAAACATATATATGATGGCAAAACGATCCACAAAATGTAGCAATTTGAAATGGTTACAGATGAAGATATTGTATGATATTATACCCACAAATATTTTCTTAAATGGGATCGGTCTAAAGGACACGCCTTTGTGTACATTCTGTTCAAAGGAACTAGAAACAATTGTCCACCTACTCTGTAATTGTTGTCATGTTAAAAAGATTTGGGAGAGTTTGACCAGTTGGTTAATGACTGTAACTGAAGGTAACATAGACTTTACACCAGAAAACATCTTACTTGGATTTAAAGGGAAAAACAATAATTCTTTAAATGCAATATGTCTTGTTGTGAAACAGGTAATATACACACAAAAAATAAAAGAACAAGTTCCAAGTTTCAAACATGTAGTAAGCGAGGTATCAAAATACTATGAAATTACATGCGTACTCCACATGCAGCAACAATGAGCTTTTTACCTTCTGGTCATCTTTCCACAATCTATTTACAGAAAATAATAGGTCAGAAAACATATAATAAATGTATTTAATTACTATTATTAGTATTGGAATCACTGAGATAAGATATTCAAAGACATTTATTCATTGTATGAAGGGGATTTGTGAGGGTGTATTGAATATATTTGTTATATTGAACATAAATATTTGTATGAATATACTTATGTGAATGCATTCTTCATGTACAATGTAAAATGTGGAAATAAAGATGTTAAAAAAAAGAAGTATTGATAACAGGTCAAATGTGAACAATCCAAAGTATGTTTTACCATCGCTCTTTAGTCTTCAAGGTGTCTTCCTTGACGAGTTATTATCAAATCTCCACATGGACATTCATTATGTCTCTCACAGGTTCTCGTTTGTGATCACGTCCCAAGGCGAGATTCTCCATGTCTACCACCCTCCTGACGACGACGACGAAGCTGTTGCCATGAAGAAAGGAGCCGCCGCCATGTTCGCGTCTCGTCTACACCACGCCACTGAGGTAATGAGGAATTATTAGTTAACCAGGCGTCTAAGTCTGCCAGTGTTGAACCGTCTTTTAGACAGCATTCCCGGTTCTCATTGCTTTTTAGTTTCATAGATTAATAGAAGTCTACACCTAAACATCGTTAGTCCTGACGTCAAAATGTGGTGGGTGTAAAGAAATTACAGGTTGAGCTTCGTGTTAGAATGCTTTATCAGGACCTTGGATGCTAACAGTGGCTGGTTCTATGAGCACATGACCTTGAACAGGAAGTCAGATGAGAGTGATCCCCCTTAGTATGTACTGCTAACCTAAAACTAGTAACATTGATAGTACTATGTTTATTGAGTCTCTTATATCCGAGTAATTATCCCGAGATCATCAAATATATGCTAGTCCAATGTACGATTCCGACTATATAAAACTGTAAAATAAACACCGACTTAAAGATATATCGGCTTTACGGACTATGCCTCCGCCTCTCTAGTTCACCCCTGCTGCTATACAGTGCGAGATCATGGTTGGTTTGGTGGTTAAAAAACGCCGTCTTTCTGTCAAACATTTGCCAGATTTGGAGTCCTGGAACCGTATGGTCGCGGGTTCGAATCCCATTTTTGTCCCAATTATAGTGGGACAAAGTACAGCGTTTCGCTGTTTGTCTTATGTGATTCCTATTCATATGATAACACATCTGATAATTTTGCTCATTTTAGAGTTACACATGCCTGTGGACCAATGGCTTGTAGCAAGAAATTGTAGTTTTATATATTTGAACTGTCCCAATAGTGTGAGAACATAAACTTGAATGTTATACCAGTGTGGTTTCTGTCACGCAATAAATATAGAAATATACCATTTTAACCACTTGATCCACTTTCGATTTGATGTGATTTAATTGTTGTCTAATGCCGCTCTCAGCGGTATTCTAGCTATATGGCGGCGGTTGATGATAACATATTTTATTCATTCAAGAAAAGGATCGGGCACAAGTTGTCCAACTTAGAAAAAACCCCTACCAATAATTACACAATTCATCTTACAACATTGTACACAAGTGACCGACATAGGTTAAATTATGTACAACAGAAGTTAACTGAGAAAACGTTTTGTTTGAGAGATATAGATATGTACATATTTGAAAACATTCTGATTTTTCGTAATTGAGAGACCTGCATTGCCATGTAAGATAAGATTAATATCAATTATCAATGGCGGCGGTCTGTAAATAACCAGACAATCCAGTGATATCGATCATCACCAAGATACAGGCGTTCGTGAAACTTAGAACCATGTCGCTTCATATATTTTTGGATCTTTCTATGAACCCATTAACAAATACATTTATACTGAATTTCACTGATTTGTAGCATTGAAAAAGGTCGGTGCTAAGGACTGGGTCGCATACAGATTTTTGAGAAAAGGGAGGTGCATAGTTCATTTTCACCTGTTTTTGCGAGAGTTTCAGTGGTCGTTTAATAAACTTTCAGGACACCCTGCACATCCCCTCTGGATCCGCCTATGCACCCCTTGCAATTGGAAAACACAATAATGAACCTATTTACATATAGGTTGTGAATCAAAGTTGTCTTAGGTGCAGGGTTACGTCCCTTACACATTTCAGGATCCTCCTAACATAAACTTGAATCCCAGGTTAACTACGATTACGAATCCTGGTCTGTCAGCACCATAAACCTGCTCCAGAAATTCACCGAGAGCTCCACGTCTTCAAATATTGACAGTTTCCTTCTACGTTCAAGTCACAATAGTTGTGCTCAATACTAAACGAATGTTTAATCATTCAAACTGAAGTTCAGTGCATGTTTCTAAACAGACCACTGTTGTGTCTTCCGGAGAAGCAAGGAGCATTTCCGAGAGTTACCTTTGTGTTGAATATGTCAACCAGACAAGAATCAGGAAGGTGTATTATCTTACCTTCATGTAAAATACTTTAACTTCATTGGTCAATGAAGCTTTAACAGGCCAAACATTATTATCGCTGGATGAAGGGAAGTAACTCTGAGCATGTTTCCCGCATTAGGAGTTAAGCGCTTTAGTTTCGTATTCGCTGTTTTGGCTCCACTTGTGCCAACACGGTAAGTTTGAAATTACCGAACGAAGTAATGAGATATTGTAAACGTTCATATATCGGGAAGTATTTTGTAGCATCATTATTTCCATCCATATATATTGTTGAACCAAGTGCATACAGTGGCAATAATGTCATTCCAAAATGTGGGCCCACTTCAGCGCCTGTTATAGGAGCCGAAAATAAGTGGGCCCACATTTAGAAACTCATCATTGCTTGTAGTATCATGGTATTCTGTAAATACCTTTTTGTTTTTATAATATAACACAAACTGCATGAAATTCAACTAAAACAACTTTAATTTCCCCCTCAATGAACAAGAATGTATTTGCACTTGTTGAATTCCTTAGACACATCATCAGGTTGATTTTATTGAGCGTGTCCATATGCAGGCTTATCACTTAAATCATGCTGAGGGAAATGAAACTATAATGAATATAATGAAGCAAGAACAACAGTTAATTAAAACTCATTACTGTGATGGAAATAATTTTACATCAGAGACCTGGAAGTAGTTACCAACAAGTATATACTGTTTCTGTAAAGTTATGCACACCAAGCAGAAAAACTAGTAAAAGGGGTGGTATTTCCTAATGAGATCTGTCATGAGGGAAAACATGCACTCATTCTTGTTGTTCCAATGGAACATAAGTTCATCAAGATGTGCACCAAGCTGCCCTTTGGATACACCATGCATGGATTTAAACTTTGATTTGGCGTTACCCCAAAACCCTTCAATGGTATTGGTGTGAGCCCCAGTATGAGGATCTACATAATTGTTTTTGTGGCAAACTGTTTGGTGCTCATAACCATTTCTCTTTAAGCAAAGATATTATTTGAATTCGTCAGTTATGATCGGAGTGCCAACTTCAACATGGGCAAGTACTATGGGTAGTAATGTTTCAGTGGTTCTGTTCTCAACACTGAATAAAAGAACATTTTTAGTGTCTCTATCTATGAGACCAAAAACCCAATAGGTAGGAATACCCTGACTGGAACCCATGTGGTATTTTCTCTTTCTACCCCATTTGCTTTCATCCATCTCCACAGTATGACCACCCCCACCCCACCCCACCCCCACCCCTTCAGTAACTGGCTCATCTAATAATGCACGAGACATTAAGTCTCTGTATAAATTGTACCAATTGTACAATGTTGTCTCACAAACATCAAGCATTTTGAGAGCCAAGTGGGCAGGTACATCAATGCAAAACAGATACAATATCATGAGGAAAGTACCAAGACTAAGCCTCTGTCCTTCCCAGAAGCTACCTAATCTCACTGACTTTGTTTTTCTACATTTAGGACATCGCCAGTTATGGCCATCAGCGTTCTGTTTGTCTTTCTGCCACAACATATTCACATTGCATATGCTACATATTTGTGAGGAAGCCAGTAATTTGTTCCTTTTCATATAGTCAAGTGTTTTCTCAGAGTCATTGCAAATTGGAGCTATATCTAAAACTGTAACTTCCATTTTGATTTAAACACACAATTACATCAGTGAATATCCTGTGAAATGCTTAAATGCCTCAACGGCCAGCCAGCATGTGTATTGCTTTGAATAAATTCCTGAAGATAAGATGGAACTGACCCACCAGTAAAGTCTCCAAACAAAGGTAAGACCATCAAGTCTGCTGATCACCAGAATGTCAAATCCATTATGTCTAATTACTGCAAACTTGTATCTGTTATAACAGCTTCCAAACATTTCATCAACTTTTCCAGGAAGGAAATGAAAAGTGCCTATCGGCTCGGGTGACACTTCTACAAAGAGGCGTACATCAGACCGTATTACCCTCGAGAGAAGCATACAACTTATAATGTCAGACACAGCTACGTGTATTATCGTTTCCCGACGGTGTAGTGTGCAGTCTATGCTATGGTTGCCGATTGACTGCACTCGGTTGTTTACAGGCAGTAGATATCGTACTGATTATTATTGATTAAGGACCAACACTCATTCCTTCTCACCTGGATACAAATGTCTTTGGTTGTCGTTTCAGGGTCATGTCCATGCAACTGACGACGGCTGGGGTTATGACGTGAGAGAAACTGGACATGAGGGTAAGGATCGGGGATAGGGTCTGGTACCGGGCAGGCATTGGGTGTCAGGGATAGTATTGACGACTTAGATTGATTGCTGTCCGTGGGAGGGCTGGTTGGCTGTTGTAAGGTCGAAATGGGTTTTAAACATGTGATAGATTGGAGGTCGCGGTTGTGCTTATGATCCGGGATGTGTTAATAAGAAAGAGTTGGATGCCGCAGAAGGGATGTTGATTGAGGACTGGTCCGAGTCCGTGGATGTGTTGGAGGATGTGGATGGGATGGTTTTCCTGGGTGGGTTGGTTGACGATGATTGGTTGCTTGTCAAGAACGGGTTGCACGCAATAGTAAATATAACTGTTTAGCAGGAATGCAGTCTGATATATTGGTTGTCTTGAAGATACGAGTACTTTCTTTAATTGTTTACAATTTATAAATGTATTGCAATCCTACACCAGGTCCTCACAACGCCACCTACTCTGTGCGGCCAACTCACACAGGTCACGTGTTCACCAAGACGAGATATCCGGGTCACCACCCCGTCACGCACGCAACATCAGATTATACCAAGGTAGACCACGCACTTTCTGCTGCTGCCGATGAAGCATATCAGGAAATACTGTTCGAAATTTTAGTTAACTTTGCAAAAATCTATTCACTCCAATAATACATTGAAATGGCATATCATAGTGTACAATGGACATATTGCTATATCATATAATGCGTGAGAAGGATAAAAAACGGAGAAAATTCGGGATCAGTTTCAAACAGACTGAGTTTGGTTTTACGCCGCTTTTAGCAATATTCCAGCAACATCACGGCGGGGGACACCAGAAATGGGGCTTCACACATTGTAGACATGTGGGGATTCGACCAATGCAACCAATGCGTGTCGTACGAGGCGACTAACGGGTTCGGGTGTTCAGGCTCACTGACGTCTTTCATGCAGGTCGTCGTATTCCAACTGCGCGGGTCGATGACTATAATGTCAATCACTGGATTGTCTGGTCCAGACTGGAATATTTACGGACTGCGTCATAAAGCTAGAATATTGCTGAGTGCGGCGTTACACAACAAACTCACACAACAAACAGTGACTTTCATCTACAAGTACGTGATAAACGCCAACAAAACCACAGTGAGGTAATTTAACAGAAACCTTAAACAGAAGGGTTTCCATGTCTGCGTAGGGCGTGATTGGCAGTGCGTAAGCAACACTTTGTACTAAAATAGTAATAGCGTTTTCCATGCACACGTGATACGTGCTGCGTGATGCTTAGTGTGTGATCTTGCTTACGTTCAAAACGCGTCCGAATACGCATCACGTAGCTATACGGAGGCCGTTAGTAAGGATTCCCAAGGGGTCTTGCCAATGTCACGTGGTTTTCATTGCCCACGCAAGTTGCAAAATTCCAAGGAATTCCAAGGTACCCGAGATACTTCTTGAACAATTAAAGTTGGTTTCCATGTGCTCAAACTATTTGATTACTATTTTATTGCTACAAATTTTAATTTTTAATCCATGTTTTTTTCTTCGGTTTGTGTTTTTTCACATACCCGCGCAATAACCCTGCAATAACCACATCCTCTGTTATGTCTATTATTTTCTAGCGATCTTTGAGAAGCAAAGTGGAATTGTAGACTGCAGTTATGATCAGTACGATCTCCAGGAAAAGAAAGATTTGACGTATCACATAGCCTTTACACGCGTACACATGGAATTGGACAATACGCACTACGCATCTCGCAATTACGCAGACAATACGTAAACATGGACACCTTGCTTCAACCTTTGTCGTCTACTCAGAGAGGACCGAAGGTGTTAAACGCTGTTGCGGAGTTTGTACTGTACGCGAACATATGACATTTTAAGAGCGCCTCAACCAATGTTCTTTTTCCCACAATGATCACTTGTCAGATCAAAACTACTGCTCCATCATAAAATGTTCTCATGCTAAAACATAGCAAGACCATTAAGTCAAAGTATTTTGATTACCATGGGTATGCATATATACTTGACTATATGACGATATGATGGGCGTGATTTCAGACGCTGTATTACGACACTGCCCTTGGAACAATGCACACCATTCAAGTGGAGGAGAAGTTCCGGGTTATGCATAAGACTGCAGAAGGGTGAGGATGTTGAATATTTCGCTTGAAAACACATTTTACTGTTGATGTCACCATCTTTATTATATCACACTCATTTGCCTGGCACGGCTGACCAAGTCAGCCAGCAGAGGCCCCGGTATTCGATGTGCAGAGTTGCGTCCCTTTGTTGTTTGTGGGATCGGATCACGGGTCGTCATGGTGATGTTTCTGGGTTTGTCAACGCCGTGACCACGCTCGTTTTTTTTATTTCTGATCAACTTTCTTAATGAAATGACCACCATCATACTCAAACATTTAAATTAACTGGACTGTGTGTAACGTTGCTCTCAAAGTATTTCACCCTCATTTCAGATTAATTTGGGATAGCGACACAGGTCGTTGCCTCAATGTGATTAGAGTAAGTGAGTTTTAGTTTTACGCCGATGTTAGCAATGTTCCAGCACTATTACGACTGTGGGCACCAGAAATGGGCTTCACACATTGTATCGATGTGGTGAATCGAACCGGGATCTTCGAACGATTTAACCACCAGGCTACCCCACATAATGTGAGCATAATGATCTCTCCGGGTAAGTGATCATCATGCCCCTCTTATTGAGAATAAAATTGGGTTTAACGTCGTGCTTGAGAATATTTCGCTCATATGACGACGTGCATGCGTGTGTATGTGTATGTGCGGCTGCTTGTACTAGCCCAGACTGAAGCTGGTTGTATAGTGCTAGCCCACTGAGATACCATGCCGCAGTGAAGCATGGATACCCCACTCAGACACATTATACTGTCTCCGAGCCGAGTAGTCCTTGTTGTACCCATTAATGCCGAACGCCATGCAGGGACCAACAAGTACCATGTTTTAACGTCTTTTGGTATAACGCGGTCTGGGATTGAACCCGCGACCTTCCGCTTTCCGTTCGGACGCTCTAACCACTACCCCACGGAGGCGGTCACAGACAAAAGGATTGAACTGGCTAGATATGCAACATACGGACCTGGTACTGTCTATATCTATGTTACTTTTCTGCCACTCACTAGATATGACCCGTATGAAAACAGTCGTCCTGTCAAGGCGGTCAACAACTTCACAGAAATGGGTGAGCAGTTATATCTAGTTATGACAGACCCTTACGGTTATCAGCGGTGGTAAATATTTTACAGATGCTTCTGCGAATTTGTACATTATTTGTTGGATGATGTTATCTTCAAAAGAGCTTATGTGGATCTGACTTAAGACAGATATACATTTATACCAAGACTAACAAGTCCCCAATCAAATTCAATTTACTAGAACGATTTATGTTTATTATTAAATGAACACATTCAATGAGTCCATACATGGATCCTGATAAAATCATACACATGAATAACCGGATTCAACCCCCAAAAAAAGGAAAATAATTGACTTATTTTACGCACGCACGTGCACACACACGCACGCGCACACACACACATACACACATGTTTTCCAAAATGCTGTGCACCCACTTTTTTTCTATAAAACTGTAACCCCGCTAGGACTTGAATACACAATGTCTTGGATCTACCGCGTTTAGAACTGTTTACTTACATGAAACCTGTGTCAGTGCTGTGAAGAAGAGTACATCAAAACTGTAATATATGACAGTCTACATGATTGCTGTCTCCAGAATTACCCGAGATGTCAGCGCAAGGTTCAGGAAAGCTGGTGTTCCTCAGCAAACACAAGGTTGACAGTATTCCCAGCAGACCAAAGACAAACATCAATAGGGCGTCCATTCATATCAAAGAGGTAACCGTATATATATCTTTTACATTCAAAATACAGAGTGAATCCCCATCTGTCGCGTTAACTCGATTTCTGTTGTGAAAATTTGTATTCATACGTTAGCGATGGCACTCCTGTTCAGATGCGTCAGAAACAGTAGATCTTTTCAGTCACCTTCATGTCGATCGGATACAATAAACACCTGTTACAACATTTTCAAACCTTCCTCCTTGAAAACCTTCTTCAAATTGTTTTGTTAATATCGATGGGCTTTTTGATGTGATCTTGTTTAAGAAAACTAAAAATGAATCAGAGAGCATTTAAAAAGAGAAAGATAATATACAGAGAATCTGTTCAGTAAAGTCTAAGGACACCTCATACATGGAATGCTAAAAGCTAGGAATCGTTAATATTTTGGGGATTATGTTTCGTAGCACACAATTTAAACAATGTAAATCCCCTTGCATATTAACGACCATAGCTTTTCGTCCAATTAATCTCACGCTAACGCTTACGTCAGTCAGTGACAGAAAGGAAACCAATAAAATAATGAAATACAGAAAATGTGCAAAGCGTATGTGCACATTTGATAGGAAAATGTCTTAAATAATGAATTGAGAATCAACTTAGACGTACGGGACCTCAGAACCCTCATCTAGTACATCGTTTGTCCCAGGTGAAGCGCAAGAAGCCAGCAGTCAATGTGGAGGAGTACCTGCAGTATGTGAAGGGGAACCTCACCTGCATGCGAAACGAGCCAGATAAAGGTACTACTATGTGTAGATATGGTCTAGGGTCTTAATGTTATAGAGTCCCGTAAATAAATACCAATTTCTAAATCACACATTAGGTCCATTTGTAAACACAAGTCTCAAAAACCACACATTTGATTCGGTTGTAAATAGCGGATTCTAAAGACTGTAGGTTATCAATATGTAAATGCCACTGTTACGACGTCGTAAGTAACAGCTGTTACGACGTAAATTGTAATAAAAACGCAAATTGTAATACTTGCAGCAAATTGTAATAAACGACGTAAATTGTAATAAAAACGTAAATTGTAATAAAAATTGACGTAAATTGTAATACGCAAATTGTAATAAAAATTGACGTAAATTGTAATAATTTTCGTTGCGGTAAAATGTAATAAATGTTTACGTAAATTGTAATAACAGTTTTAATCACTCGTAAATACGCAAGTGTTTGTTTTTCGTTGCATTTCATACATCAAATAAGCTTGTTAGGGCGATAACTCAAGAAAGAAATGATGGATTTTGTTCAAATTTGGTACCAAGGTATATTGGCGAGATTCACCGACACAAGTGAAATGGAGTGACCTTGAGATAATTTTCAAGGTCACAGCAAAAATCTGAGGGTTTTGCCAATATAAAGATTATTAGCGCGATAACCCAAGAATGAATTGACAAATATGAGCAAAATGACGAAATGATATTCGTCCTGATATATAATCGATATAAACTGTCCTCTGTATCATGTCTTTTCGCAAATATCTTTTGAGGTTTTGATATGTATACATATAAAGTGGGGGTGGGGGAAGGGTGGGTTTCTAACAGGTATATCTAACACACTTGCATGCATGTAGAGTCGGAGAGGTGGGTGGGTGTTCTAACGGGTATAACTACGAGGGACGTTCAAATAGTAGTCAGCCTCACCTAGAATATGATACAAATGCAGCTGTTTTTATGTTTTATTTTTCTACATATTATCTGTCAGCCTCAAGCAAAGTGGTTTTGCTATGTTGCAGCCTCACGATCCCCATTTTGTGAGACTTTGTATATTGGCTTGGTACTCCCAAAAAACTGAAACTCTGCAATAAAATGCATCACAAACTTCAGGAAACAAAATATGCTATGTTTGAGATTGGTAGAAGTCGGCTAGAATCAAACTTAGATATTAAACTGCACAAAAAAGGAATTTCAAAACTACAATCGCTTGTTCAAATGACTTCCCATTCTGTTTACTGAAAGAACTCGAGAAAGAAAAGAAGGATTTTTTTCAAATTTGGTACCAAGGTTTATTGACTGTAGATTGGAGATTTACCGACACCACTTGAATTTAGTGACCTTGAGGTCATTTTAAAGGTCACAGCGAAGGTGTAACAGTTTTGCACATGCCAAGCTTGGTAGCCGCGAACTCAGGAAAGTATTAATATATTTTGATCCAATTTTATATCAAGGAGTATTGGCGGGATTCCCCCAACACCAATTGATTAGGAAACTTGTGCTCATTTTAAGTTCACAGTGAAAAGTGTTTGGCACATGTCTAACTTTTTAGTGCGAAAATACAAGACAGAATTAATATGTTTTGCTTAAAGGTAGTAGTACCAAGATGCGTTGGGAGTATCGTCTAACGCCAGTCGAATTGGGAAACTTGTGCCCATTTTAAGTTCACAGTGAAAAGTGTTTGGCACATGTCTAACATTTTAGTGCGAAAATACAAGACAGAATTAATATGTTTTGCTTAAAGGTAGTGGTGCCAAGATGCGTTGGGAGTATCGTCTAACGCCAGTCGAATTCAGTGACCTTCGGATTATTTTCAAGGTCACAGGGAGTATTCTTGCGATATCTCCAAACCTAATGGATGGAATTTGTCCGTATTTTGTATCAAGGCATCAGATGACAGTTTCGGTAACGTTTACATAAATTTCAGGGTCAGACAGAGGATAATTGCGACATTCAGATATCGACATGTGGCGGGGGTAATAGCTATGTTTGTGACAAACGCTTTGTTATTACTAATTTTCAAATTTTTGTTAGCATATGGTTTCTATAATTTCATGTTAATTCTACCAGCTGTGAAATTATTCGTGACACGTCTTAAAAAAGTCAGAGATTATTTGTGTATGTTTCGAAAATTAAAGTTAATTGTTTTTCATTATGGAGTTATTTTCGATGTTGACGCAAGGACATATTTTACGAGCAATAGCTTTCAATAATTTAATGTTATTTCTATTACATTTTGAAGTTCTTCATAGCATATCCCAACATAACAGGATATTGCTTGTTTCCGCTTTGAAATGTACGTTTCTTCGTCTTCATTTTCGAATTATTTTCAATGTTGACGCAAGGATATATTTGAAGTCAATTTTATGTGATTTATTATGATTTATGTTTCGATCATATATTCATATATTGCGTTGTCATAGTTTAACCTGGTTCTACAAATTATTGTATTTTTATGAGCGGGAATTGTAAGTTACATTTGCTAAGGATATCATAAATCGCTGGCGCCTGGTTATTTCTTGTCACATAGCAGTCAATCTGTCTACTCATTTGTTGTATTTGATTGATGCATTTAAAATAAAATGTAGAAATGATATTGAATTGCATCATTTGCTTCAAGGAATCGATCAGATGTGCTCGTTATCAAAGTAAAGTCAAAACTTCTTTCTGTAAGGTATACAGTGGAAGTTGACACCTTAATTGTTATGAGTAGACCAAAGAAATCATTTATTTAGTTTCACCGCTCAAAATACAACAAAGAATTCAACGGGTGGCATTAACCTCAAAGAATGATAATAACAATGCTTATAACATACGAGGGCAAACATAACGACGATAGGGTTAACGACCTAAATATCGGCATATCCCTACTCTGGTTCCGAAAATACCAAGACTTAGGCAGTTGAGTTGTAAACTGATATTTATCTTCTATAAAGTCGGATATAATTCAAACCATGAGAAATGTCGTCAAATAATGTCTGATGACAGTTACCAACGTCCCAATAGTGTTCATATATTTTTGAAATCTATAACAATATTTAAAGCACAACCTCACTACTTTTTTGATAAATGACAAAGGATTAATGAACCATATTAAAAGGTTTTCAGGCTTGAAGGACGAAGTTTATTAAAATCTATTGCCAGCTCCCTTTTAGAGACTGATAAAAGGTTCGAAAATGTGGGTCATAAATGCATGAAAGTTTTTATTGTTGTTCATACCCGTTAGGCCTCCCGCCTCTACATGTATTTGAGATATAACCGTTAGAACCACCACCACCCCTCTATGTCTTAAAGTATGCTAGATATAACCGTTAGAACACACCACACCACTTTTCTGCCCATTTATTCAATTTGGCTAAATCATAGTTGAGAGTTGCCTCTATGGATTTAACATATTTGCCCGCAACACCGATTGATGTGTCATCGGGCAACATTATTGTGATATTTTGTAAATGTCCAGGTAAATCATTGATATATACAAGGAACACAAATTAACCAAGGGCAGATCCTTGAGGAACCCCTGCAGTAAAATTTAGTTTTTCATAATGTTCCATTAACAGAGACACACTGTCGTCTATCAGGGCCCGGTTGTTCAAAACTCGGTTATCTTTTAACCAGCCGTTAAGTACATTTAACCGACTGTTAACTTATAACAGAGGGTTATCTTGTTGTTCAAAACTCTGTTAACTTTTAACGGGCTGTTAACGTGACGTTAAGTTAACACACCTAGGGACCGCCGCTAACTTTTTAACAGTGTGGTTAACTCGCAAACGGCGTTCATGACTAACACTGCTTTCATGATGCCAGTTCAGCAAAGAAAGGATAGGGTGTATCGTGGACTGGACTTCGATATTGGAAATTATTCTGACGAAGAGTTACATACGAAACTGTATTTATGCACATCATAGGAACTAAAATACATGTTGTACAAGTACATGATGCCTACGTTTCATCTGTTAACACTTGTGGAAAGGTTTATATATGCTTTACTACACTAAATGTGTGAATTTCTTCTCTAAATATTATTTAAAAAAAACACTTTCAAAGAATATAACACGTACACCCTATACCCACGTATGATATGATATTCAAAAGGCTACATGTAGATAATTAAATTAGTTTCATGAAAAAATATCCGAACGATTTCATTATGATACTGAAAGTGTAATCGGCGGGATATGGTGATTGTGTATACTCTTATTCTACCGACCTTCACCTCAGAGAAATTGCCAAATACTCTCCCATTTTAAGAAAGAGAAGAAGCCAGAAATGCCGATTATTACCGTTGTCGTTCTGCGTGATTTTGCGTCAGTCATGGCGTCAGGCAGGACAGAAACTTGACAGTTTCGTGTAAACACATCACATTCCTGTATTGTATCTATTTTTAATTTCCTATTTCTTGCTACTATGCTCTTTCCATGTAAATGGGTGTCTAAAAATTTGAGAAAATGCTACACAGTGTAAAGTGAAATTTTCTTTGTTTACATTTCAAACAGGTGTTGTCTTTCGAGCACAGCAGTTGTTTCCACCCCCAATATCTTTCGTTTCACTTTATCTAGACACTTGGTATTGGTGCCAAAAAGACCAGTTGTAATTGGATTCTAAAATGTATGAGGAATTCAGTAGGGCTGGGACGAGTAGGAAACAATGGAATCGAGTACCCGCATGTACGTACCCGAATCGGAATCGAGTACCCGGAAATGTTAGAAATACATTCGGGTCAACTTTCTGAATATTCAATCACGATTTGACAGAGATTATTGTAGAAAACTTGAACAGTTGGTAATAAGACATTAAAACTGACCTCAAGCTATTTAATTTACGTCTGTTTAACCAATATAGAGAGTAACACCATTACTTACATTCCTCGTTATAACAACGAAAGTTTTGTTCCTGCTCCTACTGTAACTTAACTACTCACTGCTCATGCACAGATAAATTACAGTCATTAAAACTATGCTCCATTAATCGGACAATACCAAAGATGTAAAAACCTGTGAATTTCCGGGTTAGAATGAACCTTC